GCAAAATTTTGGAGTGTTTAGATGGAACAGACTAAAACCACTTGTAGCAGTCATGTCATTATTCTCTTACCCAAGTAGTTAAAAGTAAAAGTCCCAGAGTCAGGTTGCCTTTCAAAGTTTTATTTTTTTGCTCTGTAAGTTAAGGGTAATAATACTGTCTACAGATTTATTGTGGAGATGTAATTCAGATAGTGAGAACTTGGTTTAATTACATGATAGAAAACATTGTTTAAAATTATAATTTTTCCCAACATTGTATGAAGAAATTTAAAAAAAATTTTTAATTGTGGAAAGAATAGGATAGTGAATATCCATATTATCACCTACATTTATCAGTTGTTGATATTTTGTTCTGTGTGCTTTATTGCTTAGAAAATATGTATTGTGTGTACATTTGTTTTGTATGTGTGTGTATGTGAGCTTTTGAACCATTTAAAAATAAATGGTAGACCTGACAAACATATTTTTCTCCCTCAGTAAGGGATGTTTATGTTCTCCCTTCACAGGTGTATAACAGATTACATCAATTGCTTTGGTTCCACAATATGTTGTGGAAGGGATTCAGCTTAAATTTAGGACTCCAGAAATAATGCATTTTTAACTTTCTTGGAAAGTCCACAAAAGTCTATTAAATTCTTGTTCCTTGTAGTATAGTAGTTTGAACTCCCTTTTGGAATTACTGTTGGTTCTAACTCAAGCACAGTTTGTTGAGGTTGAACAGCTATAACAGGTCTTGAGGAAGAGTTCTTTCTGTCAGTAACATAATACATCAGAAAAATGGGAGTAATTTAACCACATTTGTTACTGCACAGTATGAATCACATTAATATGGTAATTTTAGAAGTGTCACGGACAAGATTCTTGAAGTATTATGCATTGACATCTTGACTAATTAATCAGGAGAATTTAATGGTAAACTTTCTAAGATTGTTAAATCAATTTGGAATTGTTGAGCAGGACTAAAAAGCTATGATTATGGATTTGCTTATGAGGAGAATTTAGAGTCAATATTTATATGATGTCATCATGTATCCTAAGGAGAAAACTGTCTGAACTTATGATGATACTTTTCCAGAAAAAGGCAAAGCTTCTTATCAATAGAGGTGGAGCTCACTGCCAGCCAGAGTAGACATTTAAAAGATCAAATCATACTAGATTGGTCCAGTTTTTTCCTGAGTTTGGGTTATGACAAGAGAATACTATACATATTTTTTTAATAATTTAATTTTAATGAGAATAACCATGTGATACAGGTTTTAATGTCCTGATCCCTACAGGCAAGCATTTTAACTCTTTTAAACATGTCCTCTAGGTATTTCCTTTTTTTCTAAATATTATTTTTCAACATTAGATATTTATTGACTTTTCTCATACAAACCATTCTGTTACATACATACACTCCCCACATTCTCCCAGTATGTTTGTTTTTTTTAATTGAAGTACAGTTGATACACAATTTATGTTTTGATTACACCATTTTTCTGTGTTTACAGTGTTACGATTATAGAAATATTGTTCATAGCTGTGCTGTGACAGCACTATTATTATATTTCCTTTCTCGTACATCGCCATCCCACCTTCCCTCCGAATTAAAGATTAGTGATACTTGATTTTTTTAAAATTTTCTTACTTATCTACATACCTTTCATTCTTTCTTCCTCTCAAGTTTCCAAGAGAATTGTAAAATTTCTGTCAATATTAGTAGGTCTTCTTAGCATTTAAATTCCTCTCTGCAATATATGTCAGCTTTCTCAGGTCTCTTAAGCCAGTTACCATTTGCCTGTCCAGTTCTCATCTTCTAAAATGTTGGCATCTATAATCTGCTGCTTCCTTACCTATTTTATTTGTCCTTGTGTTTGGTTTGTTTTGTTTTGTTTTGTTTTGTTTTGTTTTGGTCACTTCATTGGAGATTTAGAAAGGAACAGAGTTAAATGTCTACATTTTATCTTCCATGTTAAATCAGATGTCTCTATGCACTATACATTTTTATTCAGCAAGGCATTTATTTGACAGACTTTTGTGATATTCTAGTAAGCAAATATAGAAATGTAAGCTGGCTGATAAGATAATTAAATAGATTTGTAGTTGTTTTAACCATCTTCACCAAAGAGATGTAACTAATGGATGACTGCCATCACTATTGCTGAATGGTAGAGCTCTGTGTTTTGGTCCCATTCAGTTCAGTTGTGAATTGGATGGAGACCTTTGAAGGGCATACTAATGAAAACCTCGTATATCACAGTGCTTGAGCTAGGGCAGCTAATACACTGACTGGTTAACAGAATCAAGATTCAACATTATCTTAAATAAGCCATCAGTTGAACAAAAGACTTGACCATGATTCAAGAACCCTACTACACAATTTCAGGTCTGACAACTAGATTAGCAATAGTTACATGAAAAACATGGCCATGTGTTTGGTATGGGACAGAATTGGGATCTGCTTTCAAAATGTTTATGTTAACTTAGATTGATTTAATAGATTTATAAAAATAAAGTCCATGTCAACGAAAGTAAAAACTATGTAAGTTTTACACCTTTAAGAAACCTTGGCATTGCCTAGTCCAATCTTCAGTATTTTAAAGATGAGAGAAATTAGAAATTAAATGATGTGATCAGGTAAAATAAACTAGCTTGCCACAGAGCTGCAAGTAGAGCCCAGATTCGGGACATCACAGTTACTTCCATTATATGCCCTGTAGTCTCACCACTTATTGGTTAAGTGTGCAGTTGAAAAAGCACATGCTGGAAAAAAGGCTGAAAAGGACATTAGTGTAAATACCTAATTCCAAAGGTGATAGTCATTGGCTTTTAATATAATTACCCATTATCAGAAAAATAAATATAAATAAAGTATAAAATGATAGACAATGATCTCTTCTTTAAGTAAACTTTCTAGTTTCTTTCATGGACGCCCAACTTTACTCTTCAGGACTTTTCTAGGATGTTACGAGGGAAAGCATTGGCTAATTAATAATTAATGATTTTTGACTTATTTTTAATTTTACCAAGTCTGTGTTTTTGAAGTTCAGAATAAAATCAAAGTGGAGGATATTACAAACACTGTGCCTAATTCTACTCAGCTTTTTATTTGAGTAAGAATAGGAAGTGAGGCTAAGAGATGCAAGCAATTTGTTCCTGACTAGCTGTGGGCCATGATATAGATTTTGGACTTTATTCTGTGGGCAGTAAAAAAACTTGAAAGGGATTACATGTCATCTTTTATTATCTCCACTGTTGAGCATAAATTAATTAGAACTTCTGATCTTTGTCCTCTCTCCCCACAAAGGTGTAATTTTTCTGTACTATTAAAAAACATGGAGGGATCTCTTTTTATCCAGTGGTGTTAATATGTAAAAAATAATAGTTCTTTACTGTTAGGAGTTCTCCAGTTTGTCTGGGTGGTAAAATGTTGCAACAGTAAATGCTTTGGGATTGTAAGTAATTTTAAGTGTTTGACTAAAGGGTTCTTCTGGATAGTTTCGGCTAATATTTACACTGTAAAACTGAAAGTTAACATTTTCTTTTTGAGGTTGTAATGCTAGTTTTTCTACTTATCTGTAAACTACTTCAAAGGTGGATTAACTAAGTAATAACTAATAATAAATAGATTGTTTGGATTTGAACATCTAAACTCTAGAGAGGTGAAAGTTAATTCCAGTTCATGAAGCTTGTTTTGTTTGGATGTTTTTGTTTTTGTCTTTTGGTAAACAGAATTGTAACATCACAGAAAATTAATGCAAAATCTTTGTTCAGTTGTGTATATATGTGTATGTGTGTGTATGTACTTTGGTATAAACAAAATAGGATATGCTTTGAGGTTCTGCTCTTTTATTTACTAAATTGGCATGCGATTTTCATGATTGTAAGTTTAATGGCTATATTCTATTTCTTCAAGTGGATTACCACAACTGTTACCATGTAATTGAGTTTCTGGTTACTTCTAGCTTTGATTATTATAAGTAAATAACACAATAAACATTTTCATGAACATAGATTATTATCAGAAATATATCATCCTGTATAGCTTACTGGATAAATTAGTTTTATTTTACATATATTGGGTAAGAAATTTATAAATCAGTGATACAGGTGTAATTATTTTCCTACAGTTTTATTCTTTCTAAAGTATTTCTATTCCAGAATAGTCTAGGCTAAATGTAGTATTTTTTTCACAAACTCATAGAGTATAAGTTAACATTAATGTAAATTAGAGTTATAAATTACATTTGCTGAAATTTTTAGCCATGTTATAGTAAAAGTGCATATAATGTCATTTTTCTTCACATGCTCTAGCTCTCTGGAACAAAGCTGAGAACAAGCAAGCAAACAAAAACAAAAATTAAAAATTCTTTAGCAGCCAAAATAGATGTCTTAGGATCTATGTACCCAAAATTTCTAGTACTTTAGACCTTCAGTCTTTTCCTTAAAGCTTCTGTGTTGTTATTATATACATTTTTTAACAAGCTTGTTAGTCTGTTAGTCTTTCATAGAGTAGAAGCACAGAAGGAGATACTATATCAGGAATTATTATATTATTATACCAAGAACGATTGCTGAAAAATGATGGCAAAGGAAGTAAGAGGAGAAAGTACACAAAGCAGAGCAGTCTGAGCAGAATAGCCTTATATATTTGATTAATTCCTAAGGGTGTCACTCAAGTGGTATAATTATTCAACTTGGCCAGATTCATCACAAAAAAAAATCACATACTGTCTTTAAAAAATGTTTTTTAATTGAGGTACAATTGGCATATAACATTATATCAGTTTTAGATGTACAGTATAAAGATTGGATATTTCTATATATTGCAAAATGATAACAACAGTAAGTCTGGTTAACATCTGTCAACATAGTTACAAAATATTTTTCTTGTGATGAGAACTTACAAGGTTTACTATCTTACTACTTTCAGATATGTAGTACAGCATTATTACCTGTAGTCACCATGCTATATATTACATCCTCATGATTTACTTATTTTATAACTGAAAGTTTGTAAAAATATGGAATGCTTCATGAACTTGTGTGTCATCCTTGTGCAGAGGCCATGCTAAATCTCTGCATCATTCCAAATTTAGTGTATGTGCTACTGAAGTGAGCACCAGATATTCTTTTTTAAACCTGAAACTTTAGAAACATATCCATTGTAAATGATTTTACTTTGTAACTTTTATTGGAGGAATGTAACTTAACTGGAAAACTCAGATATATAAAAAAGTTCCCTAGTTGAGACTTAAGAGATACTAATATTTTTCTAATTAAAAGACAAAATATGCTTCTGGGAATGGACCATGAGAGATGATAGATACAAAAGTGTCTATGTTTAAGCCACAAATCAAATTGAGAAGGCATTTCTATTTACAATAGTATCAATAGAGGATAAATTTAACAAAACGAATGTAAAATTTATACTCTGAAAACTATAAAACATTGTAGAAAATAATTAAAGAAGACCTAAATAAATGGAAAGACATTCAGATTCAGGGATCAGACTTAATAGCCCTAGTAAGATGGTAGTACTCCCAAATGTATCTACAGGTTCAACACAGTCTCTGTCAGAATCCTAGCTAGCTTTGTAGAAATCAACAAACTGATCCCAAAATTCACACAGAGGTGTGAAGGACCCAAAAGAGCTAAAACAATATTGAAAAAGAACAAAGTTGGATGACTCACACTTTTTATTTCAAAACTCATTATAAGCAACAAAGATCAGGACAGTGTGGTACTGCCATTAGGATAGGCACATAGGCCAGTGGAATAGAACTGAGAATCCAGATATGAACCTGTGGTCTGCTGCTTTTCAATTAGTGTGCCAAGACCATTGGGAATGAATAATTTTTTCAACAAATGGTCCTGGGACAAATGGATTTTCATGTAAAAAAGATTGAATTTGAAACTTCACCTCATACCATATGCAAAAATTAACCCAAAATGGATCAAAGAACTAAATGTAAGAGTCCAAACTATAAAACTCTTACAGGAAAACATAAAGGTAAATTTTCATGCCCTCAGATTTGACAGTGGTAACAAAAGGAAAAAAAAGATAAATTGAGCGTCATCACAATAGACATTTTTATGCTCCAAAGGACATCATAAAGTAAAAAATAACCTACATAATGGGAGAAAATATTTGCAAATCATATCTAATAAGGGACCCTGACAGCTCAACAATAAAAAAAACCACATTTAAAAATAAATTTTTTGATAAATTTAAAGATAACCACATTTAAAAATGGGCAACAGATTTGAATAGACATTTCTCCAGAGAGGACATAGGGATGGTGATTAAGCTCATGAAATGATGCTCAGTATCATTAGTCATTGGGGAAATGCAAATCAAAACCACAGTGAGATAACCACATAGCTACTATACTCTACAATTGATTGTGATGATGGTTGCATGGCACTGTAAACATACTATGACCCGGTAAACATACTAGAACCCATACTATAACACACTTTAAATGAGTGAATTGTATAATACGTGAAGTATATTTGAAAACTCACTACCAAAAAAAAGTACATAGGCTTAGTTAAAATTGATACTCAAACTTCCTAATATATAACTTCATACAATATTATATTGGACTTGTTTGAGAAGTAAGGTATTCACTTGGTGTAGGTTGAATTTTCCCTTCTGTGAAACTACATTTAGAATGAGAATTGGAAAAAGTTTCAATTGTCATCACAATTGTAAATTTTTTATTTTTCAGTGAATTACTGATTAAAGATAAAACTATTGTTTCATTTATAGCCAGGCCTAAGTTATGCATTGGGAATGATAATTTTGTGTTTTTATACCTATCTGTTTCATTGTTTTCATAACCACTTTAATAACGAAGAGATTGTCTTTTCTGTTTTTTCAGTTTTCCTACAAGCTTTTTAAGATAATCTCCTAAAGAAAGGCAATTATTGAATGGGGATTGATTCTCCTTTCAAATGGCTCCTTTGATTGTTTATTCTTATTCTCCACAAGGAAAGATTTTTTTTTACTTTGAGTGAGATCTGATTGATGGTCATAGGTTAAGAAAAATTCAATTTTAGCCACTTGAGTAAAAAAAAAAAGTTTTACTAAAGAAAAATACTGCATTACTCAAAATTCTACGAATTAGAATTTACCAAATCCATTGAATTGTTAAGCTTTCAGTTATTTATACTTTATGTGGAATTATGTAATTCCTTCTTTTTTTTTAAGTACAAACTGACTTGTTGTATCTTGATGTGGTTTCCACAAAGACTATGTTCTCCCTTACAAATTGGGAGCAACCATGCTCAAAATGATAATAGTTATTATTATACACTGAAAAGATAGGTATCAGAATTTATCTTCCTGTAAAATGTCATTGTGGGTCTGAAAGGCATTGCCCAAATTAATTTTTTGGTACAAAATGAACATTTGGTACATTGTGGTAAGAAACATAACATTGACCATTTTAACCATTTTTAAGTACACAGTTCTGTAGAATTAAGTGTATTCATATCTGAAACAGATATCCTGAACTTTTCCATTTTCCCCAACTGAAACTCTCAACCCCCTGGTAACCACCTTTCTACTTCATATCTGTGAACTGGAGTACTTTAGATATGTCATAAAAATGGAATTAAATAGTATTTACCTTTTGTGACTGCCTTATATCATTTAGCAGAATTTAGCAAAATGTCCTCAACACCCATGTTGTAGAATGTGACAGTATTTTCTTCCTTTTTAAGGCTGAATAGTATTCCATTGTATGTACATACCACATTTCATTTATCCATTCATCTGTCTTCTATTCATCCAGTGATGGACATTTGGGTTGCTGCCACCCTTGGCTATTGTGAGTGGAATTAAGTAGGTAGCTTCTGAATACTTAGCTTACAATACCAAGAGATTAGAGTTTTGATATGGAGGAAGAAACAGCAATTCTGAAGTAAGATAAAATATGAAGAAAAGTAGACCTGAGTTGGGTGACTGCCTTTTTGCCCTGGTTTTCCTTGGGATCAGTGAGAGAGTAGTTTATGGTACCAGCTCGACTCACATTTCCCAAAGACTTTTCATGAGAAGGACTGTCTTTTACATCTCAGTGTGCTACTAGATGGAACACAAAGTGGATTTGATAAGTTACTGTCCTTACTCAAAAAGAAAGGACTTGAACACACTGAAACCTGTAATTTTTAAATTATTAGCAATATGGTCTTCTAATGTAGGAAGACTTACACTTTCTTATTTGTGGATTAGTTCTGTGAAGACAGGTCACTTCCTTGTCTACCACATTTTGTTTATCCTTTCATCATGTGATAGACATTTGGGTTACTTCTGCATATAAATACTTGATGACCCAGAAATCCCACTCTGGGTATATTTCTAAGAAAATGCATCTTTGTGTGCACAAAAAATATGTTAAAGAATATTCATAGCAGAACATCTAAGTCATTATACAGGCTAATAAACATGAACTAGAGAGAACTCTCCCCTCCCCCAATTAAAAAAAAAGCATGAACTACTAACATGCAACAAAGGGATGAATCTCAGACATAATGCTGAGCAAAAGAAACCAGACACAAAAAGGGAGTGATTATTATATAATTCCATCTCTAGATAATCAAAATAGGCAAAACTAATTTCTTATAATTGCAGCTCAAACCAATTAACTTTGGGTGGTGGTAGATGAGGATTGTTGATTGGGAAGAGGCTGAAGAAAATCTCCTGGTGTGCTCAACATGTTCTCTACCCAGATGGTTACATGGATATATGCATGGCTTTATAAAAATTCACTGAGCTGTACATTTAACATTTGTGACTATACTTCATGTAAGTTATGCCTTAATTAAAATAAGTGTAAAATTCTTTTTGAAAACACATCATTAGTGTACAAAGATTAAAATTTGTTTTTAGGTGTTAACAGTGTGTCAGTGACCTTCACAAAGCCTCCTACTGTTCCCCAAGAGGAGCTGCTTCACAAACACTGGCTGTCACCAAAGCTGAAAAATTATGTGCCAGACTCTTTAGGAAATTGTCCAAATAATTAACAATAAAGCAAGACTTAAAAAAAAAAAAGAAGAAGCAGTAAGTTAACATAGCTCCTTATTAACAAATAATTTCGATTAGGATGAGAAACAGACGTAGGACACAAATGCCTCACTGGGTTCTGTGAAGTTACCAGATACTGTGGCTTTCTCTTTTAGTTGAATGCCTAAGTTTACAATCTGCTATATAAACGTCATCAATTATGCCTGTATTTCCTCTTAAAACTTGGATCATCATCTAGAATGGAAGTCTATGTTCTTGGCAGGAAAATATTAATGAAATATCAGACTGATTTTGCCTGATGAAGTTTAAGTCATTGACAGTCCTTGGTTTTAGTTCCTTTAGAATTGGTCGCTTTACCTTGGAGTCTGTTCATAGTTGTGTCTTTTCACTTTAACCCTTTTATTTTTCAAAGAACTATTTGGATTTTTCTTCCTGAATGGCTGAAATGTCTGACTGGTACTATAACCTCCGTGTCCATGGGTCTTGATTCAGTCTTGTAATTTTCCACATTTATGTTGAGGAAGTCTTCAAATAGCAAGTAATCAAAATCCATCTGTTGTGCAGGAACATTTCAAATCTATCAGAGATCCATAATGAAACATTTTCTGATGAGATAATACAACATTTGGAATTTGCTTCAAAATAATTCAGTTACTGTAATTTGAGCTTACTTGGGGTAATTGCTATAGAACTTTGAAATTTTGCAAAATAAAATTTAAAAAAGTAAAAGCACTAAGTATTTTTCTGCTGCAGTGTGTGGTGCTTTCTGGAGTGATTCATTCCAGTTTTTTTTCTTACCACTGTGATGTAGAAAGTTTTACACATTTATTTAGTAAAACATAGACCTCTGTGCTTACTTCACAGACTCACCCTCTTGAAATGGGGTCTTTCTTGATGTCATTGGAATTGTCCTTTTTGATGCCATTTATAAATGACATCCCCCACCCACTGTTGACTCTACTCAGCCTCACTCCAGACTTTCAGCTGCTAGAAAAACCCTCACTTTTCTTACCAACAGATTGATCAGAATATTGTGTTTAATAATTTGGGAAAATCATGGAAGCTAGCCCAGTTACTGACCTAAACTTTTCA